CTCATTTATCAACATCTCACACAAAGCCCAGTGTCGCCGCTACCTCAGGTGGGACTAACTGGCTGCATGAAAGCAGAGGGAAAGCTTCAGGGACGATAAAAAAAAAAAAAAAACAACAACTAAAAAAACAAAACAAACAGGCTGCCAACAGAGCTGAGATAAAATGTCTTTAGATATAGAAACAAGATTTAAGTTGCACTGAAATGTGTCAGTAAAGCTGATAGGATAGGATTAAATGCTTCTGGTGACACATGTGGGATGAATTTGATGTTCAGTGCATTAAAAGCTATTAAAATAATTGAGCTTTATTTTTGATAATTGTTTGGATTTTATGAGAAGCTTGGCTAAAACCGTTAAAAGGAGAATTTGGTGCAGACCAAAATTTGTTATTTTCATGTATTGAGTATTATACAGAGCTCAAACATGGCGGGGCTAAAGAGCACTTGCGGGCTCCATCACTAGCAGCCACTAATTGAGCAACAGGCAGCCTTTTATAAGCTGCTGCTGCTGAGCCACTTTGCTCATATCACGCCACGGGCTTTTCCATATTTCATAAAAAGGCAATAAAGTCATGTGACCATCTCCCAGATTATAAACTATAATTTAAAAAAAAACTGCCATCAACACAACATATAACTAATGCATCTACAATACATTAAGATAATATAATGCTAAAAACCCACCCAATTTCAGATTTGGTCTCTCCCAGAATAAATCCACTTCTCACGACAGTTAGCACGTCCATGCAGTGGTCAACATGTGAAAGATGCCCGGAAGGAGCCACAAACCCAGCCTCAGGGGTTAATGGGCTAGTGTTAACCTGGTGCCGGTGCAAAGCCTGGACAAATGGGAGCGTTGAGATTAGGAAGGGCATCCCAGCATAAAATGTGCCCAGATGGATATCCCACAATTTTGTTGTGCATGTGCAATGAGAATAAAGGGCTGTTTTATTTTATTCTAATTCCAAAAAAAAAATTAGGCTGCTGTGTAAAACGTGAACAAAAAAAGGATGCAATGATATGCAAATCTCATTGCAACTAATTGCAATTTTTCTGATACAACTCTCCCATATTTTGTCCACAGTAGAACATAGGAAATTATAAAAAACAAAACAAAACTGTAAATGCACCATTTTAAGAAAAAAAGTTAAGCTCATTTTGAATTTAATGGCAGCAACACATCTCAAAAAGTTTTGCAAAAGTTGGGACAGGCACAACAGAAGCCTGGAAAAGGAAGTGGTATTAAAACGAAATAATTGGAGGAATATTTAGCAATTATTTAGCTTCATAGGGGAAAAAAGAGAATCTTAGAGATGCAGTTTCACAGACGAAATGATTCCCCCCCCCCCACTCCCCACCCCACCCCAAATTGTGGAATTTCAGAATAATGTTTCTCAACATAAAATTGCCAAGGCTCATCTACAGTACATAACATCATCAAAAGATTCCAAGAATCTGGACAAATCTTTTTGCACAGGGGGACAAGGCAAAAAAAATCAGTAGTGGATGCCCGTGATCTTCAGGACCTTGGGTGGAACTACATTAAAACACTTTCAGAAATCGCTGTCTGTGAACACAGTTCAGAAAAATCCCAATTGGTTTTCTTTTAGGAAAACATTGATACTGTGTCCTCAAGACTAAAGAGAAGAAGGACCATCCAGCTTTTATCAGCATTCATTATAACGGTATATATTGGTTTAGAGCAACATATGCTTCCATCCTGATGATGCCTTTTTTTGCCTTTTCATACTTCAGGATGACAACGCTACACTGCATACTTCAGTACAAGAGTCCAGGTGCTGAATTGTTGTTTCACTTTAAACATTTCATGTTTTCTATAAAATATGAGTTTATGAAATTTGTAAATCACTGCAGTGTTTTTATTTACATTTTACCGTATTTTTTGGAATTTGGGTTGTTCTTTACATTACGTTATCTGCAATAAATTGTACAAATATAATTACCCAATACTTTAATCTCATGGTAATCAGTAATATTACTGTGGCTCATACCATTTCTTTATTTTGCAGATTCTCTCTATCATTCACTTAGCAGTAGCTGAAGCACCTTGAAAAAAGAATAACACACAAGTCACAAAAATATTCAATAAATAACTAATAAATATTGAAAAGTTTGCAAGGTTATGCTACCAGTTTTTTCTAAAATTGAAAATGTGCCAAAAAAAAAATATAACCCCAAAACAGAATACATTATATTCTGGACCAGCAACAAGATACATCTTTGTGAGATAGTTACAGGAAAAAAGATCCAAATGCACGACACCTGAGGCAGACTGAAGTCCAAGATATAAATGTTTAATGCTCTGTTAAACACACGAAGACAGTCAAAACTTGAAAACAGACAAAACTTGTCCGAGGCAAGGTTTACAAAGAAAAAAGACAGAGGGAGAGAAAAGGTAGGGGGAAAAGTAAGAACACAAGCAAACCCAGAGCTTGAAGCAACAAGAATGAGGTGGCGAATTGACAGAAACCCCAAAATGTGACAGCTCTGTTTGCAATAACAACATTTTAGGGTGATAATTGCCTTTACAGCTTGTTGCCCAGAGCCACAGTGCACTCTTGTCTCTCCCAACACTTTCAGTTTCACAATAACTGACCAGAATAGATGAAAGTCAAAGATAATCACCTCTGTCGCAGCATTGATTGCCACAGTTGCCAGGCCGCAAGTTCAAACCTCTTCACCTCCAGGGTAGAAAAGGACAAGGACATTGTGAAGGTGATGTGGGCTTCTGATGATTTACCATGCAGACTTTCCTGTCCACAAGCAGATGGTGAGTTGGATCGGTGCCTTTAGATTTACTTCTCATGTGTGGCCTATCTCTGCCAGTCAAAAGCTGGCTCTTAGGTAGTAAATGTACTGATTACAGGTGCTGCGGATCAAGCTGAGGCATGTGGGGCTCAGTGCTGGACAGCGGCAAGAAAAACAGGACCAATGGCAGAGTTGGAGAATAATATCCAGACTTGTGACATATTTTAAACTATTCTTACAAAGCAAAGAGTAATTTAAAGACACTGACATTTTCAGATTCTGCCTGCGGGTTTCTTTCAACCAAGGCTAAAAACAGAGCGCTAATTGCAAAGAAACCAGTTTATATTATTAATTAATATTTGACGCGTTCATCCCCACACTCCCATGCAAATACACACAGTTTAGTCACACTGATCTATCTGATGAATAAACATACTGGAGCCCACTGTGGCTCTCTACAGGAGTAGCTAAATCCATGGGTGATCTGTTTCCAGCTGTCCTGAGATGTGAAGGAGACTTTTTACTTTACTCTCATTAAAATCCAGATTTCACTGGGCGACTTCATTACTTGGTGGCTCACAGTGTCTGCTGGTATTTACTTTATCTTTCATATTCCAGTGGATAATTAACTGTTTTAAGGTCCACAAGGCTTCGTTTTTTTAAGCTGAAGTCAAGAAAATGCATGTGATTAATAAGAAAGACAATGGAAAAAGCTTCAAAAACACTGCCACTACTATATATCAAGATTCTTACTTTATGTGATGTTGACTAAAGGACTGGAATAGTTTCATTTGAAGGCTTAGCATTATTTTATAATAACTTTAACTATTTATGTTATGTTTGATTCAGCTGTCAAATGTTTTCCCTGATTTTGAGATCTTTATGTCAAGGTGATGGGGAAATGTTTGAGATGGAACATTTCCACTTTCCCAATATCTGCTGGTATTCCAGAGTCCAAGCTGGAGCACAGACACTGTGACAACACTTTTTGGTTTTGAACAATGACTGTAAAAACATGGAGGACCTGGCTCCGCTCCCTCCTATTCTACAAAAATGAAGCTAAAATTTCTCTTTACTTGGAGCTGCCATGTTATACTTTTGGAGCCAGAGTCCACCCACTGCTCCAGTTTTCTCCTGAAATGAAGGTAACTACAACCACGGGGCTGTATATTCAAAAAGACACAGCTTCTATAGTTCTACAGCATGTGACATCACTCTGTAGCTCCTGTTGTTAATTCGTTAGTTAGATTAGCCGTTAGCATATGGACTGTGTTAGAGGCTTGTTGCTAGCTAATTAGCAATGCTACAAACCTGCATTGTTATTGTAGTCATTGTTTGAATGATTTAACACATTTTAGTTTTTCTTATCCTATTTTAGGCAGAGATGGTGTCAGTTGCGCACTCCACAGAGGCCCAGAGTTACTGTTAATATCAGAATTATCTGGAAACTGGGTCCAGAGTTTTGGGGAAACTTTCTCCCTTCCTTTCATCACATCGCTCTTTTCCCAGATGTTCTGTTGATCCACTGAGAGACACAGCATTTCAGAAACGTCATGAGGACTGATGCTCATCACAGAGATCAAGCAGGACTCATAATTTTCACCAACACCTCCCTCAAATCAGAATCAGAATACTTTATTAATCCCGAAGGAAATTAGGGTTACAGCAGGCAGCACGCTAATGGCGCATGCGCACTTACAAAGGCACCTTCTGACCAACTTTACACAAACATCACATTGGGGAGACATGTCAGAAAGGTAGGCTGATAGGAAAAAAACCAACGAAAATACACTACATGAGGTAAGAGGAGGAGAAAAAAAACTCCACTCAGACTGAGCTCCTAGTGGGAGAACAGTTTGATAACAGAAAAAACACCTCAGCACAAAAAGCACATGACTACACCATAGAAACACAAGACAAGCAACATGGGCGGGTAAAGAGTAAGAGAGAGCCGGTGTAGACAGCGCATCCGGTCCTGCAGCATCTGTGCTGGTCCAGTCGACTGCCATGTTCCCTGGTAGGGCACAAGCATCGAAGGAGTTTGGAAAGGGAGGGGGGATCAGTGTGTGCATATCAGTGTGTGTGTGTGTGTGTGTGTTAGTCAGTGTGTGTGTGTGTGTGTTGTGTGTGTGTGTGTGTGTGTGTGTGTGTGTGTGTGTGTGTGTGTGTGTGTCCAGAGTTCAGCTGAGACAGTGTCCTTCGCCCTGCCAGGCTAAGTAAACAGTCTTCCAGCCAACCCAGGTGGCCTTGCATGGAATGGGAAGGAACAGACTAAACACAGTCGTTATCAGGGTGTTTTTGTTCAGCTCCAGCCTTGCAGCTGGCGCCAAAGGGGTATCCGCATAAGTGATGGTATTTTTTACTTTAGTGCGAACAGCTCATATGAGGTATGTCTTCACCAGACCTCCACTGAAGGCCGCCCAAGAAGATGGACAAACCCAGCACTTCATGAACAGTGTGACAGAGGCCTTTGCTTTGTGTAATGTCAGAAGTAGTCACACCATCCTCAGATAAAGGACAGAGGGCCTGGAACTTTACATAATGATGTTATATTCAGTCCTGCCAAAAGTTATATTATCCTCTCAGTTTACTCAAATATGAATGACTCTGAATATCTTATGGTAAATAAAACACTCTGTGATAGAAGTCTGGATTAAATTATATTAGTTCAATGTTAATTTTAAACCTTTGACCTTACATCGGGTTTTATTGATAGAAAATATAATGGACTCTACATTCAGTGTTAAAAGCAGAAGCTGTGCAGGTCTGAGATCAGGAGCTTTATTAATCCCCAAGGTTCTGTTTATGCTCCTATATAGTGACACCAGTTATGTGGATGATTAAACCTTTTAACTTTTCGTCTTTAACTTTATCAATAAAACAGCTGCAGCATCCACTGACAGTACATCATATAGTAATTTAGCCTTTGCACCGTTTAATTTTGGAGTTACTACAAAGAGTGAACATATAAGCTGATTGGTCTGTTGTCACTGGGTGATGCTGAGGTCTGAATCTGAGGGCAACTCCTGTAATCACAAAGGAAAGACTCATCACAGACTGAAAATGTGAAATTTATTCTTCAAATGTGAAATAAAACTGATTCTTCCCTGTCCTCACCCACTTCAGGTTCTGAAGATTTGCCCTTACATTTTTCAGTTATATAGTTCTGATGTGAGCTTTTACAAAAAAAAAAAAAAAAAAAAAAAAAGGGGGGGAGGGGTCTGATATACTAAGAGATTATCTAGTAGAATATTTACCTTTGAGATGAGATGATAGGGCAGGTTTCCAGTCCTGGTTCAGTTGTGCTACTGCACAGTGGTCATCTGCAGGAAAACAGAAGCGTATGGAGGTTTAAACTGCTGCCTCAGTACTGGACACCATATATGTATGCTTCATAGTATTTCTCTCAAAGGATGTAAGCTATATGGAGTAATGCACATTCAGTCGAAGCAGCAGAACTAATGCCTGAACTATAGGACTGATTTTAATCAACAGCTCAGAATACTTTATTTATTTATTTTTTAAATTTGGGGTAAATTCATTCATGTGTACAGATTAGCTAACAAACACGGCTTTCCCCAACAGCTCATCTAAACTAGCTAGCTAAAAACATCGGTTACTGATTAGCTTACGAACACTGTTATGCCTCCTCGAGGGCAGGAGGGGGTAACACAACAACTCCAGAAACCTGGTACAAGAGTTATAAACGATTCAGTAAAAAGGACTAGATGTTACAGTCCCTGATAATGCATTGCTTTAAATGGAGAAAATCTTGAAGGATGGCCGTTATGAGGAAAAGCAGACAAGACACTTTACCAGTTTGGGACACATAGTCAGTAGTGGACCTTGGATTCATTGGGTGTTTCGACCATTATCACTAGACACCCTCGTCCAAGGAGGCCCTGCCAGGGTTGATCAGGCCCTGGAGTGTGTCACTGGTTTATGTTAACTTGTTATTTCTCTTCTTCTTTCTTCTGTTTATAAACAGAAAGAAGTTAAATGGCAGCTTTCTCACAAAAACAATAACCCAAATTCATACAACAAATGTGGGGGAGAAAGGGACAGTTAGGTTGTGCCAAAAAAAAAAAAGGGGGGGGGACCCTAATCCTCAACTCAAAACAAGCTCAAAATTACATGGGTGGCACCAACCTACTTACCTAGTGTTTCTAAAAGAAAAGATTCTATGTGAGTAAGTGTATGGGTTCCCCAGACTTGCCTAGTCCTCTTTACTCCCACCACAACCTTCAAAAAAAAAGAAATACACCAGAGGCACTCTACACATGTGCCAAACAATTCTACGCAAGGAAGAGAGAGCCACCCTAGCCACAGGTGAGTTTCCTTATCAAGGTGTGCACTCATAGTTTGTCCAATCAAAGCCCCCTTCCTCTAATTAGCTGGAGATCCACAAATTGACACCAGCCTGCAGTCTGTGTACCTGAGGAAATAGCAAACAAAAGGAGAGGGAAAGAAATCATGCCGCCTGCAGACACGTAACAAACAAACATTTGACTTACCGAAAAAGTGTGGCGGTGAGTCAGTTTACTGCGGAACACCTCACGCTGTCAGTCTGAAACAGTCGATCGTGGTTTTAGAAAGTTAATGCAGTGTCCCTGTCATATTTGCCATTCCCAAACAGAGCTATGCAAGCTTCTCTGTGACTGCAGCTGCCAGTCAAAGCTTTCATGACAGCTTGTTCAGATTAAATAAAACAAGATATAAAGCATTAAAACATTTTCTAAACACAACAGCCTTAATAAACGCGTAGAGTGGTTTGGCCCCATAAGCAGGGTTCATACGTCATCACTTGAAGACTGGATAGGTTAAAAACAGTTTTTGTACCAGGCTGTAAACATGTTTTGTAACGCTGGAAAGTTGGAAATTTTAGCATAGGCGTTTATGAGGGCGGAATTGCTTTTGAGGCATGCTTCAAGGGGCACCGTGAAGCTAGAACCTTCACCTGCTTCAAAATGAACTGCAGTTTTTATTGTATTGTTGTCTCTATGAGTGGCTGTATCATTATTTCATTGAAAGTCAAGTGACTTCAAGTAACTTGGGCGGGGGGGGAAAAAAATGCTAGCAGTGCAAATTGTTCTCAACTTCTAAGCCAGTGATTGAAGCAACTACCAATGAGACCGCATGATACTGCTGATTGACTTGTGACATGGTAGTAAACACATTTTAGAGTTACCTAGGCAACTGGAGCCTGGAGTCCACTGACCAAATGTCAGCTTCAAAGAGGTGCTTGACAAGCTAATTGCTCGCTGTCTGGACGCAGTTTTAGAGCGTTGTTTTCCCCCCCAGACAACACAGTCAACATGTTGTGTATGGTAATTATGTGTTGTGCATCATGTGTGGTTCAGTGAGTGGAAGTCAGCATGAAAAACATGCTGCTCCCTGGAGCTAGGGAGAACAAAGCCGCTATTCAGGATGCAAAGCAAAGCTCTTCTTAATAAGAATGACTTTTAGATTTCAAAATGTCACAGAGTACAAGGTAAAATATATTCAGACCCCTCCTTTGCAATAGGCTTTCTCACCGAGATCCATTGAGGAGTGCTTAAGAACATCTGAAGATATTTCTCAAAGGCTGGAATAATAAGGTTAGAGCCTAGTGGAGCACTTTTTAATTACTTAGTTACGGCCAGAGTCCTGTGAGGAGTGTTTTACCTTGCTCTCAAACTTCCCTGCAAAGGCAGAAAGGTCAAACACTTAAAGAAATTACCAGACTTAAAACACTGAAATCTAATTGTCCTTACAGGTACTTCTCTTAATTAGTAAAGTTTTGGGTTATGTGTGGCACGCTGAAACAGTTTGGTAGGATCCAGGAGGAGCAGGAAAGCATGTGAATATCTAAATAAGAATGACCCTTTGTAATAGCATGTTATAGGATCCTCTTGAGTCTGATGTTGCACCGAATGTCATGGTAACAACCTTGCCGAACAGAGTGCAGTCTCCCTCCGTCACAGCCCCCCATCCTGACTTTCATCATTAAACTGCACACATGGGCAAGAGCCTTTGAAAATCCTGCCACTATTGAGCACTCTTGAAAGGAAGGCTCTTTTCATTTAGTGGTCTACTGAAGATGATTTGCTTTCAGGGGTTTTAATTGTTGCTGTGTGATGTTCAACAGGCTAAGCTGCTCCAGAGAGCTTGCTCTCCTCATTTGCATTAGTGATTGATGGCGGCTGATTTTCCCTTGAACTTTCAGGGATGTAGAGTTCAGAGCGCTGGAGGCGGATGTGATGGTGGGAGCGGAGGAGGGGAGAGGAGGAAGGGCAGGCAGGAAGCATGCTGGGCTCAAGAGGGACAAGCTCTTTAGACAGACCATATTCAGTGATATTCAGACAATCAGCTAGAGATGTTTTTTGAAAAGGCTTGATTGTCATTCTGTGTGATAATAAATAGTCAGTCAGTAATCTTCCAAACAGAGCTTGTAGCCTCAGAGAGCACAAATACACATTAACATTAAATCCTCATTGAATTGGTGCTTTCAGAGCGTTTTGAATAAACACGGGGTGTTTTGTTGAAGCAGGATGTGAAATGAGACAACTTTAACACAAGTTGGATGTCTACTGTGTCTATTTAATCATTAAAATAATAATTGTTAGGCACAAAAATGCTTACATTTGCATCAAATGTGGGGAGGTTGTTCAGGAAGAGCATCAAACCCAACCCACAGCCACTGCAACACTTATTCTTAGTTTCATGCTACACTGCTGATGGACAGGCTGTTAAACACTGATGTGATGTGGTTATTTTACTTTTACCCACTAATAGAAACTAATGAACAATATAGAGCTGCTTTCATTTACTCCCTTATTTGCAAGAGGTTCAACACAGCAGGTTTGATTTGTTGGATTTTGATCATGACACAACCCCCAAGGTGATGGTACCACCTGCTATGGAGCCACTAAACTAATGAACAATCTAACTTTTTCACTAAGAGAAAGTCTGTGGGGTTTTTTCCTCACTGAGACAGAGACACAGGAGAGGCCATGTCTACTTAAGAGCGACAATAATCAGCCTTGTTAAAGTGTGAACAGGGTTGTTTGTACAGAGAATTATTACCTGGCGAAGCTTGATAAAGAGTTTCAGCTTAATTGGATGTCACAACTTTACTGTTTGGTTCAATACTTGGCTGCAGCAGGAAGCTGTTTGCAGACAAAAAAGCTCTGAAACCCACAATGCACAACACCACTACAGGAGCAAAAGCTGGGCAGACAGTTAACAACAAGAAGAGATCAAGAAAGAATATTGAACTTTTAAATGATTCAATACAATTAATGGTGGATGTAGTTATCCAGACACCTCCCCCTAGTTTGTGACACCATGAGAACATTTTTACCATCAGCATCTGAGTGTATGGAGACTTGATGTGACGATGGGGACAGATATAACTGTGAACCACCTCCTTTCTGACACTTAGAGTGACCAAAATGTACAAAAACGCTCCTCGTGTTTTACACATTATGGCTGAAAATGAATGTATAAGACTGTAAACTCAGCAGGAAATTTTTTACATAGATCCCAGCTCAGCAGAGGACTTTTCCCCCCCACTTCTGTAGGACCGGAGGGTTTTTTTTTTTTGCAACCACAGGTTCCACCATGTGTTGCCCCTTTTAAAAAGAATCCAAGTTTAAAGCACTTACACACTGGATTTAGTTTTCAGACCCAGAAGCTACGTCCATCTTTTACACTGTCCACAGTTACGACATAGGGTTTCAGAAGGGTTTGCAGCTACAATACAGCATAGATTTAACACTGAGGTATTAATCTCACGAGTCCCAGAGTGTTCAAACAAGCAGGTCAAATAAACAATTTGAAAAAGGTGTTGAGGGCGTAAATGTAATAGTAATAACTACAGGAAATTTAAATGTCACACTTGCTATACATTATTGCCAGAGAAAATAATAGTTATTAGGTACACATGTAAAATCTAAAGCAAAGAAATGCAACAGCTCTACCCTAAATTCTTCTTAAGCATCTGTATCCTCAGTTTGTGTTGGTGAGTTCATAAAGCTTAAGTGATTTTACTTAACTAGACTGGATTGCCCTTAAACGTTTTCCTAATATTTTGTATTCTCATTTGTAGGTTACAATCGATAAGATTAATTCATTATTGATTAAGATTATATTTGTTATTAATAAATTAAATAAATCTACTCTAATAACCTGTTGAAAGTCATGGATTAGGATTTTGCAGAATTTTGTCAGATTTCTTTGTTATTTTATGTTATTTGTGAGACAGAAACAGAGGCACAAGCATACACAAAAGCAAAATGTTGGTACACTGAGAAACAACAAGGTCAAAAATTCTGTCACATCATAAAGCTACGCAGCATTTTTAGTTCAGCATCTGCTGCAGCGATACCTGACTAAACCTTTAATACTATGTTTCATTGCCAGGATAAAAGCTCTTTGCTCTGTGAGATAGATCGTTAAACAAGACCTATTTCAGAACAAATGAGCTCTATATTAACCTGTGATGCCCTAAAACTGTCTGTTAGACATTATACTGCCTGATAAAAGTCCATATTCTTTATAAATGTGCAACCTTGATGTAGGGTTACGCAGTGTTTAGTGGAGTCATTGTTCTGGCAACACCTTATATAATCTAACACAGCCTTAAAGCTGCTCTGATAGATATTCTATATTAACAGTGGGTGAAATGATTGCATTGTATGTAATGTGAAGGATTTCACTGGAAGTGACGATTCCACTGAGAATTATCATCCGACTCTGCAGTTCCCTGCAGCTCTCTCAGAGTTTTACAGCCTGCAACTTTGCTGTTGTGGCTCATTGTCACAGCACCACCTCGTTTCCCAAAGCAGACAGCTGTGTCACAGGAAAAAAAAAAGCTCAATTAAACCTGATGTGCACTACCTGCCCAGCAGTAAATGGCAGACAGATGGAATTACAAAAAAGCTAGTGAAGACATTCAGCATCTGAGGGGCTTGACTGTCCTCCTCTTTTTATCTACCTGTGGTTTTGACATTTCAGTCCCCTAACTGCCAATAGTAACCCCTTTGGTCCTAATAATCACATAGCAAATACCAGCTGGTATGCATTAAAGTGATATGCAGATGCATTTGGAGATGCTAGAAAAGTGAAATCTTCCTAAATATGAAACCCTACATTGTTGAAATTAATATACTGGATGTCTGGCTATTCACTGCTCCTTTTTATCTGCATGGGGTGTTTCATTTCTCCACCAGCAGACACATGAAATAACACAGAGGCAAGCTGGGTTGTGCTTGATGCATTTTATGCTCTGGATTAGCATCACCTGCCAGAAAGCTTCTTTAGCATCTTGAATCAATTCAGACTGAAACTGAATCTATTAGAAGCAGAAAGCTGAAATCACAAGGCCCCGTGGGCTCTTAAATGGATTCAGCCATATCCCTTCATCTTCGGATGTCACTATTGAAACCAGTCTTATTGTGATTGTGGCACTATGGAGTGGAGGGTCGCTTTCAGCACTGAAGCAAAGAAGATTAGCTCAGCCTACAGATGCTTGGTTTGCTGCAAGCACTGTTTGGTGATAAAAGCATGCCCGGCAGAATCAAAGTG